TAGACACTGTTTGCTACTCTACCGTAGACACTGTTTGCTACTCTACCTAGCTGTGACTCTATACCCCCAAACAGGGCAGCTCCAAGTCAGTCCCACTCAAAGACGCATGTCATGCCAAATATGAACAAATGGGACGCAAAGATGGAAGACGACTCTCCGTGACGACAATTCCCACACCCGAAGCACAGTTGGGCTACGTGGCCTGCGGAACACTGATCGTTGGTCAAGGGCGCTGACACGGCCCCGGACGGTGATGGAACGTAATGGATCATCACAATAAAGTACTGATACCATAGGGAAGGATGCATAAGAACTTCCTCTGCACATCTTCTGGCCTCAACAAGTAATAATGGAAAAATGCCAAAATAAGTCTGATGTCCAAAATAGACAGTGAGAGGCCATGGTTGCCGACATGGTCTGAAATGATGCCGCTTGGGTAAAGCAACCCATGATCTCTGAGATGCGAGACGAACGTGTGCTCACTACACGTGAAAGAAGCACGCAGGGGATGTGGTACTGATTGGTATGGATATTCTGGACCCGAGCGGTGGTGCCTGAACCCCGTGATATGCTCCTTGAATGAGCCACAATGACATCAAGATATGACAAAGGCCTACAACATCAAGGATGGACAGCACAAACTATGGAGCGGACATGGGCAGAAATGGCCTGACACTTTCCCCTCCTGAACCCGATATTCTCTGTGCAAGATAATGTAACAGTTTGTTAGGATACATGTCCGGAATAAAGACAAGTGCAACAGACATTCAATCACACAAAATATCTTTTATTACAGTGAGAATAATAATAATAATAAACTTAGCAAAGAGAAACAAAAACTAAAAAAGGATACAAAATAACTACCTTATTGGGTGGCATTAAAACAAATACTACAAACAGCATTTATTACAGTATTAACTAGTAAAAAGGGAGTTAGAGATACCAAAAAAGGATCTTAACACAATATTACGGATAACTATTAACATGATATTGGTTAGTTAAAAGGGAAATTCAAGGGAAATACTATGAACAACTTATTTATGTAACAATATTCAATAATAAAAGAGGAATTAAAGGGACACTTAAAGGATATTAAAAAATTTGCTTTCTCGGTTGCTTCCTATCAATAAACTGTGCTTACCCACACAGACAGGCCAGGGTTATCAGGATCTGCAGCAGCTGGTCGGTGCCCATGCTTAGCAAATGTCCCTGCAGAGCAACACAGTCTCGATGGAAGGATGAGTATCGCTCAACTCAGCAGTCCTGACACCCCATTTTATCAGCTCCACATTACACTACGTAGGGCCAGTACACAGTATAAGGTGATGCCTGAATGGCAGCCAAACACCGCCTGTTCATTACCCAACAGCAACAGTCTGTGCATGCCCTACTTGTAGGGCAAAGGGTGAACGACCCCTGCCCACATAATCTTCCTCTCACCATCATCTTTCTCACCCCGATGTATGACCTCTACCATTGTGTTTCAAGGGTAGATGTATTTATCTTGCAGTATGTAGCAAAACCAAGGAAGAACTCAGCTCTGATAATAGGGGATATCAAGCTGACTTGCTAAAAAGCACAATGGACCTTACAGTTAACTTGTGCCAGAAGTTACATTGTACAATACTCTAGCTGGTTTCACATCCTAATATGATTTCTTTCTCACGCCTCTATGCTCCATTGATCATCTAATTCAAAAGTACCACCCTTACAATAACCTATAGACCAACAATGTCAAAGCAAAAAGGCTCTAAGGCAGACCCAATTCTGCTGGACACCCTGTCCGCTGGCCTCTGAACAAAAAAAGGACTCAGCAGCTCACCCAGATACTCAGTGAAAGCTTCACCTTTTCAGAGTTCTCAGGGCCATTCAGGAAATCTAGAGGTCAGCTACAATCTGCATTAAGACACATAAAACAACCACCAAAATTCATGGCCCTGCCAGGCAGCTCCCATCATCTCCACAAAACCCTGCTCTCAGGACTGCACTCAGAAGGACCATGGCTGCTCCATCCCCAAGAACTGGACAGCCATCGCCTCAGACAGCTAAGCGCACCCACGGGGACTTTTATGGTTAGCCCCCCCATCTACACATAAGGGCAGAGCAGCTCCAGGACAAACACACGCACACCTGACACAGAACACGACAAACATGCAGCGCAATGAGGAGAGAAAGCTCTCAGCAAGAAGCAGAACTCCAAGAACCATAACACTGTTGAGCGAGATGACCTACGCAACTGCGATGGCGAGCTGAGAATGCCCTATGGGAGCCTGCCGAAAGACTCCAAGATAACCACCTTTGACAAGAAGGGCCTGTCAAAACCGCACAGAGGGACGTGCCAGAACGCTACGTTCGGCATGGAAGATTGGGAGGATGCGAAGAACAAGTCCCCCTCCTTTACAATGGATGGTTGGAGAGCGCAGTCGACGACACAGCCCGAAACGCGGCCGCAGAAGACGCCCAACTGTAAAATTCCAAGATGCGATTCCGATGCAAGATTGCAAGTCAAGGAACAGATGATAGCGGCACCGTGCCGAGGAGACGTGCAAGACCCCGGGGATGATGCCCGATGCTTCCCATAAGCCCCTTCGGGGCAGAACGCAAAGACATCTGATCCGAGGAACCCACGAGACACGCAAGATGGACTAGACAAACTACGCCACACAGACCGGAACTGCTCTGCCCTGCACAGCCCAGTCTTGTGCTCAAAAGTAAGCCACTCCCCCCCACGTGTAATAAGAGGCCTGTTACTGGACATCCCTCTCCCCCTACGCTCATTTCTAAAGCCATCCCAGCAATTCCCAACCCGGTACCCTGCTCTCCTCCCCCTCCGGGTCACAGCCCTCCACTTATCTTTACGAGAGCCAGGGATGTGATTCCTTCTCCAATGCAAAAGAAGGTCATCTCGGTTACCTCAGAGGTTCCTGCAGTTGCCGGTTTATTCTCCTAGTCACCTACAAGAAAGAAGACCACAAGCGATGCACAAGTTTAGCAGCAGCTCAGCCAAAACCCCACCATTCCCATACTCATGCTCTCCCAGGTGCACCGAGGCCCTCGGGTCACCGGCTCCAGCCAGAGTCCCAGGCTGCGGCTGTCATCACATGGGATACTTGGGTGAGCCACACACACAGTTACGTGGCATTTTGGAAAGTTCAGTGCACCCCTGCTCCTCCTGCCACCACCCCGACTCACCTCCAACGCTCCTCTCTTTCCAAAGGTCACCTGGGCAGCACCTGCAAATAGAAAAGGTGCTTGCTTCAGTGCTGAGCCCTGTAATACTTTGGGATTACTCATGAGGCTATCCCAAGACCATCAAATCTTGTCACAAAAAACTAGGCATGTTTGTAGCTTTACAACACCAGAAAAGTACCATCTACTTCTGTCCAGGAGTCCATGCTCATCTTGCTCACCAGGGCTCATCTGGCTCACCTCCACGCTTGTGCTGATAGCCTTTTCCACCAATTTGTACAGAAAGGGTCAGGACAGAAAAGTCTTGCTGTCCTTTAGCTTTTCTGGGCAGCCTGTCACCTACACCTTAAATCATGGGGCTACGTGTTTTCCTTCCTACGGAAAAGTGTGGGGAACCTCGGCTGGACCGAGACCCTAACATGGAATGAAAAGGGGACTGAGAATGGAGGCCTTAGTCCTGACAACATATTGATGCACCCTAAGAGAGGAGAAAAACACCAGGAGAAAGCTGTCCCATGAGAACAAGGACTTATTTTGAACAAAGTGGCTGAGTAGATTGTAAACTTGAGAAGAAAACAAGAACAGATGTGCAGAGAGACTGTGGGAAAGCAAGACTGAGAAAGTCCACCTATCAGCTGTGAGAATTATGGTCTGTGTGTTTGAATTAACCTGTGTAGAATACGTGTCTCTAAAAAACTGTATTTAAGGAGCTGCACTGCTGCTGCTCCAGCTCTCTTTTCTTTCCAATAAACTTTCTTGCTGGATACTTTGTGTCGCAGTCCGTTCCATCAGCAACAGAAAAGAATTGTTATTCCCTCTCAGAAAGGCAGCACCAAAATATTGATTTCCTATTTATGACTTGAAACGCTCCCCTACTGACTATCTCAGGTATTACACTCTAAATATACACCGTTCCCTATAGTTTACCTCCAATTTTATGCCCAAAATATCCATTCCATCCCTAGGTTACCTAGATTTTACAACAAAAAAACCAACTCTGATTATCTCTTTCTCATGTGCAAAATGTTCACTGTCAAACCTCTAGTGAGGTTTGTGAGGTCTTCAGCTGAGAGGAGGAAAAAGTATTTTGCATCTCCATTGGTACAGGTGTCGATAGAGGCCGACAGAGCTTTTGCCTTTTTCAGACAATTGCACAGTTTCCTGACTCCCTGGCAGCTTGGATGTCACAGATCTCCTTTCCTACATCCGTGCAGATGTCACACACAGGTAGCTATACAACTTTTCTCAAGCCTATGCAGAGCCAAGATTTCCTCACCCTGTACATCCCAAGGTGAGTGTTCTGGTCAGTAAGTACAGCAACCCCCCTCCGTCCTTGCAATCAAGGAACCATTTTCCCTGGCCATTTCTCTAAAGGTTAGGATTTTTTTTAAACTGCTGTCGTGCCACCAAACCTGCTTAGGATCTCTCCCAGCTTTTTGACTGTCCTTGGATTTAAAAAGCACACACTCCCTTCCATCTTCCAACAGCAAAACCACAAAATGTTCCTGACCCACAGTGTAACCCTAAGGATGGGCACTCCCCCCTCGCCATTCTGATGGAGAGCCGTCGAGCACCCCCAACCCACCCATCAGATCTGAGTAGAGCAGCACAGCCACGGCAATGCCAAGAGCGGGAACAGCAGCCCCGCTGATGGGATTCATGCAGCAGGAGACATGCACAGAGGTACACATTTGGCCATACACAACCAACACCGAATTTCCTCAAAACCTATTCCCCAAAACTATCCGCTTGGAACACCGTGCCAAACAACATGTGGTAATAAAACTGGTGCATTCAAAACAGCCAAATTCTTGGATGCTTGCTATTTGCTTCCCCTTACTGTTGTTATTCCTTCAGAAATTCCACCCATAGCCAAGTTACTGGCTACTTCTTCAAGTATTTCCCTCCCTGGTATTACCAGCACATTTACACAGTCAAGGAACTTAACAGCTCTTCTAAAATTATCCAGGTGCCAATTACAGCCATGAAAGAAAGGCAAAAGGAGAAGGGTCAGGCAGCCAGAGAGCTCTGCGGGTGGCACCAGGCAACATCACACTTGCTAAAACACGTCCTTTAGCACAGAGGAGGAAACAGTCTAACATTATGGCAAGTTGTGCCCTTCTCCCAGCGCTGACAATAATCACACACAGCACCAAGTAAGGCTCAAAGGGGGCATGTCCCAGTCAAAGTGACTCACCATAAGATAAGTGGGAAGGGGGGGGGGGAAATGGCAAAAGCACAGACACCAGGACATTCTCTTGCTTCCAAGGCAAGACCAATCATCCCTCTGGGAAAAGGGAAAGAGGCAAGGGTTCATCAAGCAATGCATAACTTAGCAAGTGAGTTTAACAAATACCATCAGGTTTTGTGCACAGAGGAAACAAAACTCACTGGTTTTAGTAGCTAAAATATCAGGGGAAATTACTGTCTGGTTACAGCAGTAAGTTTCCCACAGCAGTTTCAGGTGCCTTCCTTTGGAGACCAGCCCCAAAGTAGAAACTCCTCTCGACTGCTCCTGATAGAGGCAATTGGAACTTTAGGTGCTCAGGAAAGCGATTCCCTCCCCTAAGTCCTGGCTCACCTGCCCGAGCACCTACAGTGCTTATATTCCACCTCGCTCTCTACTTTGCACGTTCGTAGCAATAAAAGAAACCTCTAAGCTCTTCCTCCAGTCCGAGCCGCATCTTCTCTGCACCCCTATACTCTCCCACCTGTTCGCGTGCGCTGTTCCCCTCTCCTGCGCTGCTTCCTGGCACGGGGCTCATCCCTCGGCACCTTCCTCGAGAGATAATCCAGGTACATCTGGTGCTTCCCCCAGCCCCTGCGAGATGCTCTCACCACCACTGCTTGACACACTCCCTGAGACCAACTGCTCCCCTGCAGAAGCTCCCTATAAAAAAGTGCCCCAGATACCCAGCACGGCCCGCCCCTCATCATCCTCACTGGCCACATCTGGGGTTGCCCTGCCCCTCGTCATCCTCACTGCCACACCTGGGGCTGTCCCGCCCCTTTGTCATCC